GTGGGAAAGTTGTTCTGCTTCTGTCAATTTCTTATTATATGTTTGATTTACATTTTTTCCTGCTGGTTTGAATGGAATTCTTTTGTCTTATTGCATCAGAATTTGTGTTCATTTAAATGATTTTTGCGTGTTGATGTTGTTAGGTTTATAATAAATGTTTATTTTGATCATGTTTGTTTTTTCAATTACCCAGCAGGGAGTTTCCATCTTCATCTTCACTGACTTGGGAGCATACTTCAGTATATGCTTGTTTAAATATGAAATTAAGTAGGTTTTGATCCTTGTTTGATTGCCTGTCTAGCTTATAGTTGATATATATATGGGAACGTATTCCTTTTCATTGCATATTGTTCTCAGGTCTATTCATTGTGTGGTTCAAATTCAAATGTTGGAAATTAGAAAATCTGAGCATTGAATGTTGAATTGGAGATGTCAGATGACTTTTAGTGTTAATAGAAAACTCATTTGGAAGTCTTCGACGGCGTTTCATGGTTCGACGGCGTTTCATGTCCATGATTAAATACATGGAACCTTATTCCTTTTCACTGCATATTGCTCTTAGGTCTATTCATTGTCTAAGTCAAATTCAAATCTTGGAATTTAGAAAAATTGAGCATTGAATGTTGAATTGGGGATGCCAGATGACTATTAGTTTTAATTGAAAACCCACTTGGAGTTTTCTGCAGCCTTTTAGACATTGAATGTATACTAGGATGTTACCCTTCTAAGTTTGGTTTTTGGCTTGAGCATATCATGGCTCTTTAGGCAGCAAGCATGATCTATGTAAATAGACTATTAGATTATTGGGACTTTATGGTGGAATTCATATCTACTATTCTCATCAGATTATTGGGACTCTGTTGGGATTGATATCTATTATTCTCATCATACATAGGAAAAAGTGTTTTGCGGTTTGTCTTTCTAAAATTTTCTTTTGAAGACTTCTCTAAAAACTATATTTTAATTAATAATTTAAAAAATTAACTAGTAAATTGAAAGTTTATTTATAATGTGTGTAAATTTTCATATTTATTTAGTAGATTTAATTAATTTATTAATATTACAAAATTTAACTCGTTAAATATATAAAGTAAATAGAGTTTTTTCAATAAGAGGAATAAAAGTATTAGATCAATAAGATCAATATGGAAAATTATATTTATATAAATAAAACTTTTAATCAAATGATTGGTTTGTGAAAATATTAATTAAATAGTGAGTGTTTTTGGCAGGTCCTCTAAATAAATTTTAGAGGATGTTATACACTACACTGATCATATATATTGGGTATAGATTTAATTATATATAAGTTTTATGTATTATATTTATATAAAATTTTATTTATTTATATATTTTTTGTTTTTAATGGTTAAAATTTATTATGGTTTTTTAAATAAAACAATAATTAATGTGAATAAATCTTAATTATTGAAAGTGAAAAAATGAATTATTAAAATTTTGTGTAATTGTAATGTATCAAAATTATTTATAAGTGGATTCAACCTCTCTCTTTATATGTACAAATATAGAGTAAATTGTGATTTCTAAATATAAGTGTCTTTTAGGACTTATAAATTTATTAAAATGCTTATAATGAAACTCTTTTTGGTCTTTTTTATGTTGTTTTATTAATGATATTTTAATAATTTCAGTATTTAAATTGTACTTTAATATTCATTTCAACTTGAAAAACATAAATGTCTTCTAACTAAACATGGTATTAATTTTTTTTCTTTTTATACAGACTGTCCGAGGCTTCAATGTATTTTCCAAAAATCAAATAATTACTCAAGTAAATGGAGCTTAATATAAATCTCTTCTTTGAATGAGAGTTAAAGATTTTAAACTCTAGTCATACAACATGTGAGTGAAAGGAAGAAGATTGCATTCAATCATTGTTCAATTCAAAATAAAAGAAGAAAAGAAAAACTTTCAGACAAAAAGGATTAAAATAACGTCAATTTGGTTAAAGTTACAAGGGGGATATCGTATCTTAAAGATCTTCTGAGCTGTAAATCTTCAATAAGAAAAGCCCAAGTCAACCATTAAAGAAGAGAAAATTAATTGATAACCCCAAACATGGAGCAGAAATGGGAATATAGTTTATAAAATGTGAGGTGTCCATTGGAATGTTGATTTTGTCTTTTAGCAAGGTGGGGAGACATCGCGTAAATAATGTTGGGGCATGCTCTGGACAAAGCAAACATCAGCAGAGCCCTCTTAACACACAAAATTTAATAAAGCCATATATAAAGACTAAGATTAGGACATGGGATTACTGTTAATCGGCACGAAATCAGGTGTTTTAATTAATTAAATCATGGGGAGATGATTGCGTGAAACGTTACACTTTTGTTTTTATATGTAATTGGTGTATAATAAAGACCATCCTAGACTCTGGCTCTCTTCCTATGCCTTTACATTCAAATTAAATTACCTTTTATCACGATTAATTAAGGTGGGTATAGATTAATCATGCCGCGGAAATTATGTTAGTAGCTCATAGCTGCGACGCCTTAACGTGCCCTGTGCCTCTCGTAGTTCGAGATTAAGCATCGTAATAATGAAGAATAAACAGACTGAAAGACGGTTGTAATTGCAATTAATTATGTGCAAATGAGGCTGTCCATAATTTGATTTGTTAACAGCTAAGTAGAGTGAAGATTGGTCATGCCATGTAATCATAGATGGGATCACATGCTTAGTAGGCATGCCTTTGATTCCTTCAACACAAGCTAAAAACCACTAGGAAGAAAAAATTGAAGGAGAGGAACTAGAAGAAGAGAGTAAGGGTTATCTCCCCAACTGCATGCTTAGTACTTTGGGATCTTTGCAAATGAAGATAACGGCATTCATTTTATATAAGGTGAAGAAGGGATCAGTGTCTCTTACATCAATGCCCAATTTAAAGTTCTTGCGCAAATTAATATCCAACTAGTAGCTTAACTTAGAGTGAACAAATTTGTATACATTAAACAACTTAGTTTAAGTTTGGTAGTCTTAACTAGTGCCCACTAATTCAATAATTAGTATGACAAATCTTGATAATCTTAACAATTAACTACTCTTTCTTGTTAATATTCATAGGCACAACTTTGCATAGGTATTCATTGAGCTTCCAACAATCGTCAGCATAGGGCCTATATATCTAAACGCCATGGGAAGAGTAAATGACAACTTTTTATAGTACTAAAATCCATATATTATACTTTTTTTTTGGTTAAAATTTAATTGGGTCCCTTTACTTTGATAAAAAATCTCTTTTTAATCCATTTACTTAAAAAATACTCCTTTTTAATCCATAAAGTTTGAAATCCAATCTTTTTGCAATTCTTCCATTAAGTTTTGACTTTAAATTATTGAAATTTCAAAGAAGGGAACCAAAAAGTGGTTTTTTTTTTTTTTTTTAACCGTAGAGGGATGAAATTGAGGTTCCACTTTTTTGTCTTTCTATTTTAAAATTTTTATTATTTAACATGTTATGCATATAAAACTTAACAGATGGACTAAAAAGAGATCGAATTGTAAACTTTAAAGATCAAAAAAGACTTTTTTTAGATAAAAAAAAATAAAAATGAACTTTTTATTAAAAAAGAGAGTCCAAAATAAGGATTTAACCAACTTCATTTTATGCAATTAGATTACAGAGGACGCCAATAAACAAATTTAAGTAGGTTCCTATCTCCTATGGATCGAAAAAGAAACAGATTCCTTACTAATTAAATTACCTCTAATCAATTACTCCACTAGATTTAATTTTAATGTCAAAATACACAAATTTTGGTAATATCTTATAAGAATCTTTTTTTTTGCAGCCTAGTTCCAAACTTCAAAACTAAAACCATTATATAAAAAATAACTCTTAATATCAAGAATTTATTATTTATTTAATAATTCAAATTATACAATTTAATACAATTTAAATAATACAACATCTTTTTTAAATTTTTATCCAACTCGACGAGAGAGAAGGAAAGTACAATGTGGACAATGGATTGACTTACCCTGAATCCAGACAAAAAGAAAATAGAGAGAAAGAGAGAGAGAGGAGGACAGCAAGAACAGACAAGTGATTTTAAAATAATAATAATAGTAACAACAACCAATTTCATGAATGCACGGTGATGATGATGATGGTATTACAAAACCGTTTTGCACAATGTACACATTACATACGGCTGACTACCTGGATGTTAGCCATTTCTGCTGTGTACTGTAGGAGGAAATGAGGGAATATATGGTAAGGGCACTGTTTGATTCCTGGGAAAATAATTCCCGAGGGGTAGGGATTTGATTTCCTATGATCTTGAGATGAAAAGGCCACAATTGGAGGGTATTTCGGTCACTCTAAAATGTAACACACACAAAGGAAAAGGATCAGGACCGTTTATCTTGAGGAACGGTAGGATTAGACCGTTGGGATAAGGGTTGAAAGATAATGGGTGCACCATGTTGTGGGTAAAGCATCATCTGGACCGTTGGTGCATGCTGATATGTGGGGGCCAATCTAAATGAGAACCTTTGGAGTATGATAGCAAGAGTTAGCTTCGCTTCTAAAACGGCTAGGTTTCGTCCGACGCACATCCGGTGGCCGAGGCCGAAGGGAATGAACCCGACCGGGTGCTTGGCGGCCCGTGTCACGCCCTCCGAGAACCGACCCGGGTTGAACTCATTAGCATCATTTCCCCATATAGCTTGATCATGATGGATGGCTAGGATTGGTATTAAGAGCTCGGTCCCACGAGGGATCATGTAACCACCTAACTCTGCGTCCACTTTTGTCCGTCTGATTGTGGCTACTACTGGCGGGTACAAGCGCAGGGACTCATTGAGAACCATACTCAGCTGCCACACCAGAAACATTCCAGTACACCCTCAGAACTTATGAAATGACCGATTTACCCTTCTAAAATTTGATTAAAAAATTAAAAATTAATTTTTAAACAAATTTTTAAAAAATTGCATATTTAAATTTTTTCAAATTTTATTTAAAAATCTCTTTAAAAGTCAATTTTTTAATTTTTTCTAAGAAAATTTTAAATTTATAAAAAAAATTTAACCAAATCCTTTTTAAACTTTGGAAAACAACCTTTATGTATTTTTGCCTCTTTTTCTCCTTTAATAATGAGAGATGGAAAACAACCTTTATGTTTTTTTTTTTTTTTTTTTTCTCTTTTTCTTCTTTAATAATGAGAGAAAATGGCTCACCGTTTTAAGCTTTACAATATCATCTTTGGTGGGTATGTCACGTGATCCACAAACCTTGAAGATCTCCTCACGTGCTAGCACCTGCCACTGTGGGTGCATTGCTAGAAGAATGGTTGTCCAGGTCAGCAAGTTGTATGTGGTGTGTTTGCCAGCAAAGAAGAAGGTCTTACACTCTTCAATTATGTCATCGACGGTAACATTTGGGGACGAATTTGATGCCTCAATCATCAATTCCAGCAAATCCTTAGCTCCTTCCTCCGGCATCGTGTTGCCAGAATTCAGTTTCCTCGATTCAATCAACTTGGTCAACGATGTTCTAATTTCCCTGCTCAGCTTCCTAAATTTTATGTTTCTTTTTGTTGGAAAAAATCTGAAAAATGGACAAAGTTGACATCAAATCAGTATGTAACGGTGGAAAGCAACTGAATTTCTAACACAATTATGACTAATACCTTCGTTTGTTTCATTTTAGTACGTCTTCTTTCTTTTAATTAATTAAAATTAAATAAATAAAATATCATTTACTTTAAATTATTTAATTAATTTAAATTACACAAAATTATAAAATATGAATCGTGAGGTAAAATCGAAAAACCTATATACTAGAGAACATTTTTTTCAATTTATTATTACCTATAGCCGGGGATGAAAACTGTTTGAAATGCCTCCACGACGAGTAGCATTTGTTGGGCTTGTAGACGGAAAATTGTCTTCCCATCTTCATAGCTAATGCCAAAGGCGGCGCGGGTTACGACTTCCTCAGTGAGTGCTTGGAACCAGTCGGAAACTTCGATTTCAGCCTCGCCGGAGGTTGACATTGCCGACCATTTGTCCAACATGTTGGTGACGCTGTTAGCCACCGCAGGAACCAAGAGCTAATTAAAAAAAAAAAAAAAGATATTAATTAATTTATGGGATGAAAAGAAAAAGAGGTGAAAATTTAATTGTACTATACAACATGCTGATAGGTAATAAGTCATAACTTACTTTGAGATTTTCCATATGGAAGGTAGGCGTAATGATTTTCCTATGATGAGCCCATTTTTCACCCTTGAGGCTGATGAGACCGTCACCTTCAAGCTGCTTGATAAGTGGGTGAGCTTCGATTTTCTCGTAGAATTCTGCCTTTGTGATGAAGACATCCCGGACGAGGTCGGGGTCGGAGACCGTCAGCCGGACGGTGGGTCCCAACCAAAATAGGAATGTGTTACCTGGATGATAATTTGAAGGATAAGAATTATAAATTTGATTAAAAATATGAAATAAAAATTAGGGCAAAAAAAGAGGGAGGAGAAGGTTGTGTTCACCAAAGAAAGAATTAACACAGAACCCTCAAAATTAGTTAGTAGGGAAACCTAATAGTAATTAATTAATTAATTCAGAGGAGATGGATGGTGTAGACCCTACAAAGAAGGGAAAGTGAAGGAAAAAAGAAAAAAGCCAAAAGAAGGTGAAGGTAGATAAGAAGAAGACAACTCAATGCAAACACAAAGTTCATATATCAAGAATTTAAGGCTCCCATAAAAAATTAAAAAAAAAGAAAAAACACAAAACAAAACAAAAAACAAAAAAAGGATGATCTGTATGAAACAGAAAAGTAGATGATAACAGCTAAACTTCTAAAAAATGAATAGCATGCATTTTGGCTTGTCCAGCAGTCAGGCTTAAGAAGACATTTTTACCCTTGATAAATAAGGATGCATAAATTATTCATTTTGTAAAAACTGCCATTTTCGAATAAATGTGGACCGGACTGATCGAAAACGCATTTCCTGCTTCATACATGGTAAGGAATTAATGAATTCGGTATTTTGCATTCTTGACTAAGAGAAAAATTTAATGACAATTGTTTTACAGTGCAGTGGAATTTTGATTAGAAAAAACACGTTTTTGTATGGGAAAAGAAAGAGACGCAGAGCAGTCGGGAATTGACAACTATCCAGCTAGCTAGAGTACAAACATATAAAACTAAATTTCAATTGTTCAATTTGCTTTGTTGATGAATTCTTTTCAGGAAGTAGAAGGGTGCAAGAAAAGAAGACAAAAGAAAGAAAAAGGAAAACAGAGAAATGGAACCGTCCAAAAACTCTGAACTTGAACATCAAGCAATCCAGAAAAGGCCTGTAAAGTTTGAAAACAAGTACCGGAAAAATTTTCAAGAATCGATCATAAACTCAGCCAAAAGAAAACCCTTTATTTCGTGATACAAAAAACCAACTCTTTTCTCCTTAAACCCAAATGTTTCTCCCATTGAACAAACAAAATATAAAAAAGAAGAAGAAAAGTTTTGAAAGAAGAAGGTGCCAAACAGAAAAACTGTGTCAAGGACTTGAGATCGAATCCTGCCAAAGGCAGGGAAGCTAGGGAAGGGTAAGGGTAAAGGTCATGAAAATTATTTTCTGTTATGTGGAACTGATACATTAAAGAAGAAGAAGATTGAAAATAGTACCATATAATTTCTTCCAATGATGGTAGAAAGTGAGGACTCTAGGAAGAATGTTGTGAGAGAAATTAGGCATGGGTTGAGAGGAGGCGTTAAGCATCATCCCAGCAAGCTCCTTGACATTTCCAATGAAGAAATGATAAGGGGGGCCTCTGATACCTTGCTTGGAGAAATGGTCTTCAATTCTCCGAGGCCTCCACCAGAGCAGAACGCCGAGCTTCAGGACTACCATGGACATCACGAAGGAGATGACAAGTATCTCGAGCCAGAGGAGGAGCTCAAGTTCCATGTTGAAAAAGAGAAATTAAAAGTTTGAGCGAGGAAAAGATGGGTCTCCTTCTCCTTGCCTTTCTGTTATGTTGGCTTTCTTTTCATACTGTTCCTTTTTCACGGCTTTTAGTACCGCGAGGAGAGAGATTTGCAGAAGCAAAGCCAACGTGGGGTCGCCAGTTGAATTTTAGTGGTCAACGAACGACTTTTTTTTTTTACACGTTACCTCATGCTGCCCAAACTAATTTTAATTTTAGAGGTTTAAAATTAACATTTCATTTTTCATTTTGAATATTTTATTTAATATATTTATTTTTTATTTTTATTTTTTAAAGAATAATTATAACATATTAAAAATAAACTAAACTAACTAAAGTTAAACGGAATAAGTAATAATATATTATATTACTTTTTAAAGACAATTTATCCCTTTTTTTTTTAATTAGTACTCTCTCCATTCTAGACTTTATTTTATTTTATTTTATTTTTTAGATTAAGAATTTAAGAAAATTTTTTTTACTCATTTTACTGTTAAAAAAACAAAAATAAAGAGATAATGATAAGGTTAAATAAAAATAATATTTGTCTCTCTTAAAGGATGAAAAAAACCTATTATTCTAAGATAAATTCTAAATAAAAAATATCTATTATTTTGGAATAGATAGTGTATTATTATATTCCTTCATTTTTATTTCTTTTTCCCTTTTCATTTTTTATTTTTTAGATAAAGAGAAAAATTAAGGTTTCTCAATAAATAGAATAGTTTTTTATACTATATTCAGCATTCAAGAATAAAATCTGGAAGCTGGAAAAAAGAAAAAAGGAAAAAGGAACAGATATGGGGAGACAAACATTTTCCACCATCCAAAAATAACAATATTTGGAAACAGGTAGTAAAGATAAAGAGAGCAACAAGACATGGAAATATACGTACTGTTGCTTTATATATATATAT